TATAGAGATATACAGAATTATACAGATTGCGGAAAAAAAGTGCTGTGATTACAAATAACAGTAAATGTAAAATGTTTCTCAATCAAAATCAGATTTTTGGTATAATGTGACATGATTTATCATAATAATGATAAATATTGTCATATTAAAGAAAGTTTTCATATGCACTCTACATCTTTTAAAACAGATGAGGATGAGTGTGAGTCTAAAGAGGCATACTGTGGCAAAAACGCAGTTTGCTACAATACAATTGGTAGCTACTACTGCCAGTGTGAAAAGGGATACAAGGAACCTTCAGGAAAAGTTAATTTCACTCTGGAGAACAGCAGGGGATGCAAAGGTCAGTAATCCCACCGTATAGTGCCCTGTGCCTGCACAAGTGCTTCAGTAGAAAAGGCTGAATCTAAATCTCTGCTCTTGTTCTTTTCACAGACATCAATGAGTGTTTAGAGATCCCAGATATCTGCGGCCGCAACCCTAAGTGTAATAATACCATTGGCTCCTATTTCTGCACATGCAAAGACAGATTTGTTTCCAGCAATGGAGAGAAGAAATTTAATGCAAGTCAAGGTGTTACATGTGATGGTAAGACAAGATGTGTCATTTTCGTGCAGGTATTGCGTAACTGATGGTTTGCGAAACTCTGACAGGTCCCACCTCTCTTAATTACTGTTGCTGCTTCCGTCAAACTTTCTGCTCAGGCCGCCTGACTGCATCTGTGCTGCAGACTAAAGATTCATCAGCACAAAGAAAAAATTTAGAAGCCCACATAAACAAACATACATATTTGAGAACTCACAATATGACAATAGGCTAGTAATTAAAAAAAATAACTCAATAACTCAATATTCAATAATGTTTTTATTCATCAAACCAGGAAAATCTTTTAGCCATATAACATTAAAGTGCCAGGTTTTCATGTCTATGAAGGAAGAAGTTTTAGCAACACAAGCTGCCACTTCAGATGAGCTAATGCTAAAGCTAATGCTACTCACACTGGAAGTATTTGGTGCAACACTAGATGCTGAGTAGGACTTGTCAAATATGGAAAAGAAATACATGTAAAATGTATGTAAATGGCAAAAAGATTTTTTCTGTACTTTGTGAATATATTTTGGAATGAAACAATGTATTTGACGTATTTCACATCTAAAAATATATCCGGGTCCATGTATTACTTTTCCATATGAGGTTGCCCTGTGAATGAGGACTTTTATCCAACTTTTACAAACTTTGATCAAAATATTACAAAAGCTGGCATTTTACCATTTCCCAGCCTCATCCAGAAAGCAGTCTAGGCTGAAATACTCCTTATAATTGTAAATGAGAGGAGCTAAGCTGATGTAGGTGGAGTAGGCAGTGATATGTAAATTATTTGTTTTTCATGACGTTACTGAAACCATGAATTTGAAATGGGCTGGTTTTGCAGCTTAGTTTGCATGTATGGACTGGGGAGGACGGGACATTTTGAAATTTTAACAGTGTTTACATGCTACATGAGCCCTTTAATATTTAGATACAGAGATCCTAAGAAATGCCAATTATGATGTCATTAAGCAATAGAATGCCTTCAGCTCATCCCTGCGACCAAATCAGTCATGATGTCATAACACACTGCCTCAAATGTTCCATAGCTTTTATACAACCGTTCTGCAAAATAAAGAAAAAAGTAAAGTAAAGAATCCCTGCACATCAGATGAAACGTGCTTTATTGTGGGCAGTTCCTTCTGTTAATAAATTTGTAGCTTTTTGTGTTATGGAGAGACCCGTAAAACTGTCGCAGCATCAGGTCCAGATCAGCTTTTTATTACTTGCCAGATTAACCTGAACGTCGTTTTGTAAAGTGTTTCACAGCTCATCATGTGTGTTGAATTGTATTCTGTTTGTTTCTGGCTGATTCCAGTTAGTTTAGTTGTTCTGCCATCATAGCTGCCGATTGAAAAGCTCACTTAGGGGCAACGTCAGGTTCTGAATTTGATGTGGCCCTGCTGTATGTCTTCAGAATCTGACCAAACAGGCTGCAGGTCAAATATCATCCTATAGAAGTTAGTTAATGTGTTCGTTTTCTGGTTTTGTATGTTTTAAGTAGAAAATTAATAGCGTAAAGTGAGACTGTTGATGCTCAGAGGAATTCTGATATTCTGAAAAAGTACTGTCATCACAAATAACAGCACATATAAAACTTTCCTCAACCAATTACATTTTTGTCAAAACTAACTGTTGTATAAGGTGACATAATTTATCACAATAACGATAAATATTGTCATATTGCCCACTCATAATGCAAAGAAGTTTTTTTCATATGCACTCTACATCTTTACAACAGATAAGAATGAGTGTGAGTCTGAAAACCCAGTCTGTGGCAAAAACACAGTTTGTCGTAACACAGTTGGTAGCTACTACTGCCAGTGTGAAACAGGATACCGGGAAACTTCAGGAACAGTTAATTTCACACAGCACAACAGCAACATATGCCAAGGTCAGTAATTCCACTACACGGTGACCTGGGCTACTCATAGAAAAGGCTGAATCTGAATCTCTGCTCTTGTTCTTTTCACAGACATCAATGAGTGTTTAGAGATCCCAGATATCTGCGGCCCCAATTCTGAGTGTAATAATACCATTGGGTCCTATTTCTGCACATGCAAAGATGGAATTGCTCTCAGCAACAGAGAGAAGAAATTTAATGCAAGTCAAGGTGTTACATGTGATGGTAAGACAAGATGTGTCATTTATGTTCAGTTTTGCATAATTGACGGTTTGCAAAACTCTGACAGGTCCCACCTCTCTTAATTACCGTTGCTGCTTCCATCAAACTTTCTGCTCAGGCCGCCTGACTGCATCTGTGCTGCCGACTAAAGATTCATCAGCACAAAGAAAAATTTTAGAAGCCCACATAAACAAACATACATATTTGGGAACTCACAATATGACAATAGACTAGTAGCTTAAGAAAATAATTCTAAAAATAATGTTTTTATTCATCAAACCCAGAAAATCTTTTAGCCATACGACAATAAAGTGCCAGGTTTTCATGTCAAATAAGGAAGAAGTTTTAGCAAAGCAAGCTGCCACTTCAGATGAGCTAATGCTAAAGCTAATGCTACTCACACTGGAAGTATTTGGTGCAACACTAGATGCTGACGAAGACTCGCCCCATATGCAAAAGAAATACATGTAAAATCTATGTAAATGACATCTGTACTTTAATATACTTTAGTGCTGGGAATACAATTTGGAATGAAACAATGTATTTGACATGTATTTCACATCTAAAAATATATCCAGGTCCATGTATTACTTTTCCATATGAGGTTGCCCTGTGAATGAGGACTTTTATCCAACTTTTACAAACTTTGATCAAAATATTACAAAAGCTGGCATTGTGCAGGAGTGCAACAAAGGGCCCATATTTGACATTTTTCTTACATTTTATTTTACCCCTCAGGTCCACATATTACACTGGGGTGGCTTTATGTACCAAAGTATTCATAATACATTTTACCATTTCCCAGCCTCATCCAGAAAGCAGTCTAGGCTGAAATACTCCTTATAACTTTAGTGTAAATGGGAGGAGCTAAGCTGATGTAGGTGGAGTAGGCAGTGATATGTAAATTTTTTGTTTTTCATGACGTTACTGAAACCGTGAATTTAAAATGGGCTGGTTTTGCAGCTTAGTTTGCATGTATGGACTGGGGAGGACGGGACATTTTGAAATTTTAACAGTGTTTACATACTACATCAAACTCTTTCAGTTCAAAAACGTGAGGAAAAATAGATTTTGCATGACATGAGCCCTTTAATATTTAGATACAGAGATCCTAAGAAATGCAAATTGTGATGTCATTAAGCAATAGAATGCCTTCGGCTCATCCCTGCGACCAAATCAGTCATGATGTCATAACACACTGCCTCAAATGTTCCATAGCTTTTATACAACAGTTCTGCAAAATAAAAAAAAAAAAAGTAAAGTAAAGACGCCCTGAACATCAGATGAAACGTGCTTTATTGTTGGCAGTTCCTTCTGTTAATAAATTTGCAGCTTTGTGTTACAGAGAGACCCATAAAACTGTCGCAACATCAGGTCCAGATCAGCTTTTTATTACTTGCCAGATTAACCTGAACGTCGTTTTGTAAAGTGTTTCACAGCTCATCTTGTGTGTTGAATTGTATTCTGTTTGTTTCTGGCTGATTCCAGTTAGTTTAGTTGTTCTGCCATCATAGCTGCCGATTGAAAAGCTCACTTAGGGGCAACGTCAGGTTCTGAATTTGATGTGGCCCTGCTGTATGTCTTCAGAATCTGACCAAACAGGCTGCAGGTCAAATATCATCCTATAGAAGTTAGTGAATGTGTTCGTTTTCTGGTTTTGTATGTTTTAAGTAGAAAATTAATAGCGTAAAGTGAGACTGTTGATGCTCAGAGGAATTCTGATATTCTGAAAAAGTACTGTCATCACAAATAACAGCACATATAAAACTTTCCTCAACCAATTACATTTTTGTCAAAACTAACTGTTGTATAAGGTGACATAATTTATCACAATAACGATAAATATTGCCATATTGCCCACTCATAATGCGAAGACGTTTTTTTCATATGCACTCTACATCTTTACAACAGATAAGAATGAGTGTGAGTCTGAAAACCCAGTCTGTGGCAAAAACACAGTTTTTTACAACACAATTGGTAGCTACTACTGCCAGTGTGAAACAGGATACCGGGAAACTTCAGGGAAAGGTAACTTCACACAGCACAACAGCAACAAATCTCAAGGTCAATAATTCCATTACACAGTGGCCTGTGCCCGCACAAGTCGTTCAGTAGAAAAGGCTGAATCTGAATCTCTGCTCTTGTTCTTTTCACAGACATCAATGAGTGTTTAGAGATCACAGATATCTGTGGCCCCAAATCTGAGTGTAATAATACCATTGGCTCCTATTTCTGCACATGCAAATACGGATTTGTTCCCAGCAACAGAAGAGAGATATTTAATGCAAGTCAAGGTGTTACATGTGATGGTGAGACAAGATGTGTCATTTTCGTGGCGCGTTTTGCCCGTTTGACTGACCATTTGCAAAACTCTGCCAGTACCAAGAACAGTCATAATTCATTTTCACTTGGCCATTTTCCAGCCTCGTTTAAAAAGCAGTCCAGGCTAAAAGAATAGGCATATATATATATATATATATATATATATATATATATATATATATATAATTTCATCATATATATATATATATATAATTTCATCATATATATATATATATATATATAATTTCATCATATATATATATATATATATATATATATATATATATATATACACATGTATAAATTATTTGTTTTTTCATGACATCAATAAAACAATTCATCCAAAACAGACTGTTTTGCCAGCTTAGTATGCATAGATCAGTGGTATCCAAACTGTAGTATGTCAAACCACTTTTGGGGTAAGTCAGAAAAATTCTGACAAAGATGGCAAACTTTTGCTGTTATAAATTGAGCAGATGATGTTACTGCAATATACGCAATCTGTGGCTCACGTTAGCGAACATTTAATTGCTCGCTGTTCATTTTACAGTTGCAGACTTTCTCTCTCTCCCTCACACACACACACACACACACACACACACATATGTGCCCTCATATTGATGCTGCAGCATTGATCATTACAAATGAAAAATGTTATCTTCCTCCCTTTTTTCCCTGTGTTCTCATAGGAACTCCAGATTGACTCACACCTATAATGCAGTCATCTAGAAACATTCCTAATATTATTTGTTTATTAAATGTATTTATTTATGAAATTATTCATTAATTATATTATTCATTTTAAGGTAAACAATAACAAAAATGTCTGTTATGCAATGTAAGAAAAAAGGTAGTGAACAAGCAAGTAAATATACCCTCGAAGATTATATATATCAAACACAGTATATATCCTTAAAAGTGACTTAGCGATACACTGCCTTCACTTTTCCAGGGAAAAGGGACATATCTGTATCTTTTCTTAGGTTTTAAAATAGAAAAATAAAGTAAATACCTGGAGTCAAGATGGACAATATGATATCAATGTAACTTTGAAAAATATATGATACAAAATATATTCAAATATACATATATATATATATATATATATACACACACATAAGGAGAGAGAGGACACACAGCAGGAAGTGTAAAAGGGGTGAAGGACTATAAAAAGTTTGAGAACCACTGTCACAGATGCATAAACGGACTCTAGGGATCAGAGAGTGAATGGTACATTTTAAAACTTTACCACTTTAACTGAGCTAACTGTCAGCAGCTAAGTTAAGAAAAGCTAACTTAATTAGCTAATAGACCTTAAAGTTGTTCTCTGATGATATTTATTGTTAGACAGCATGTAACAATGAGTGTTGAATAAACACAGTAACCCAGTTAAAGTTTAGCTTACCTTTTAGCCAGCATAAATGTGCCTGTTAAAAGTTTTAATGCTGAGCTGTGAGCGTTAATTTTAAAATTCAAATTCAATTCAAATTTCAGCTTTAGGAATGAAATAAACACAGCACCATCCTCCAGATCAAATCAAATCAAATCAAATTTATTTGTATAGCGCCTTTTACAACTGATGTTGTCACAAAGCAGCTTCACAGAAATCCGTTTAGGACAAAGTTTCAACATGAAATGTAAATCCTCCAGGTGAGCAAGCCAGGGCGACAGTGGCAAGGAAAAACTCCCTCAGAGCTGAGGAAGAAACCTTGGGAGGAACCAAGGCTCACATGGGGGGACCCATCCTCCTCTGGTCAAACTACCTACAAAATTATTATTCTACTAATATTAATAGTAGTAGTAGTAGTAGTAATAGTTAGGAGGTAGTAATAGTTAGGAGGTAGTAATAGTTAGGAGACTTCAGTGTAGAGTGGGCAGCCAGTCCAAGGCAGGTGGCGGTGACTGGGTTGTGACGGATGATCAGGATAGTCTGTCTGAGCTACATGTTGCCCAGTAACATTTTCTCATCTTCTAATCTTTGTGTTCTCCTAACAGATAGGAATGAATGTATGGAGTTTGACATTTGTGGACAGCATGCAAAGTGTAATAACACCATTGGTGGACACTACTGCACATGTGACCCAGGCTACAGGCTGCAGTCAGGACAGACTACCTTCAATGACAGTGGACCTTGTGAACGTAATAGTTTTTTTGCCTTTCTGCATGTTACCATTTGCAAATTATTAACAATACTATTGTATTTGCATTAATGCGGAATCAATCAGGTTGTTCTTTAGTGCTACATTACCAGCAATCAGTGTCAATCTTCAATCTGTATACAGTGCATCAGTCTATATGCATGAATACAGTTAGCTGACAAAGTAATAAAAAAAAGTAAAAGCCACCAGATTCACTGGCCCTGTTGGAAACAGACAAGTATCAACTAGTCTTGCCTATAACAAACCGGCAAAAAAAGTCTCAGACAGTCCAGACTGGAGTTTTAACACTGAAATCTGAAACAACTGAACATACAGCTGAGACTCTGCTGTTCTTTTTTTCATTCAAGATGTTTGTACGATTGATGAGTCCCTCTGTGGGGAAGGAGTCTGCAACAAGTCTGAAGATGGCCATGAATGTGTGTGCAAGGAAGGATTCACCAACTATGGCTTCAAAACAATGAAATGCACAAGTGAGTGCAGACTAAGTGTACTCAATGATGCCTAGTCCCAAAAATATACATAAAACCTGTTAATTTCTGTTAGTTTGTTTCATAACAACTTATACAGTCTAGATTCAAACTTGATAATCTAGAAACCAGAATGTATTTTATGATGTTTTATGTAATATTTCAAGTTTTTTGTAACAGTGAGAAGTTTTTAAATTGTAAATAATGAAATGTATTACTAACTATTATATAGAGTACTGTGCAAAAGTCAGAGTCATAGACCACCAAAACTGTCACCATCAGATAGAGCTTTCATTGTCGAGAGATAGCAGAAAATAAAGCTTCAGTCTTGCTTCAGATCTAAAATGTATCTAAGTAGCTGCTCATGATCTTAGAACAGTGAATGATGAGAAGAAGAAAATGCCACCAACTTTGGAGGTGGGGAAAAATATCTTTGCAGATCTGAAATACTGAAAGTAAGTTTACTGAAATGAAAGGAAGCTGTAGTGAAGGGAAAGTGTGGACACACTAAATACTGAAAAAATATTATATTTAGCTGTTGAAACTTTGTGTAATTTTCTACTAAATAAATTTTTTTTTTTTCATTTTTTCTGGTACTTGAAAATTAATAACTTGTACTTAATGGCCATTTTGACTAGAAATGAAATAACTGAAGAGGGGTCTCTGACTTTTGCACAGCTAAGTGATGTCGAGGTTTTATCAACACCACAGATGCAGACAGGTGTTTTGAGTTGTGAGTGCTGAAATTTTAGGCAGTATATATGTAACATACACAGTGATGCCAAGCAGAAAAATATGTTTTTTTTTCATTTGATTATTTTGGATAGTTTACATCAAAAAGAAAAAAGTAATAACCTGCTATAATGTGGTGTGAGATGAATCAACACATAAGTGACACATCAAACCACTGATGCACATCACAAGGGATGAAGTAAGTAAATAATAATGACATAACCAAAGAATAATCAGATTGTTGATATGTGGTATGGTAACCAGTTGCGTCATGCCCACAGTCAACCTACATGCTGAGATTTAACACTCAAAAGCACACTGATAGGGAGATACAGTGGTTGGGGGAAAAAATCATGTATTTGCAATGTGGGAAAATATTCCGTTGAATTTAAAAGTTAAATAATATTAGGCCACTTTAAGGAGCAGAACTAGCCTGCCTCTCTGTACTCATTTACTCTGGACACGCCCCCAAAGTGCCCAGCAGTTGGTGATGGAAGCAATTCTCCTGGCCATAATGAAAATGCAGTGTTAACTCAAACAGTGTGTGATAACTACAGATATAGAAAACATATGAATAAAACATAAAATTAATAAACAAACTCTGTTGTAAAACAAGCATACATTGGTCTTTACTATGCTCAGATTTCTTTTTCAGCAGTTGTAGTTGTCTGTTAAAGAATAGTTTTATATGAATTAAAACAGTGATTCCAAACTTTCGAATGGTATGTTATTTGTATTACATTTAAGTGTTTTCTTTCCAGAGCCAAATTGTGGGTTTCTGTTACAGTATGACCTTGAGGTAGGTGGAGAACAGTATTCAGCTCAATTCATAGTGCTAACAGTTGGCTCTTCTCCTCTACAGTGACATTGGCGCTATGTCAGTGAAACATATTACTACTATCATTAATGAATGCTTATTAAAAAATGTATAAAGTACACAATTTTACTAAACATATATTATGATACTAGATTATTTTAACCCATCTGAACCTTATGCTTCATTGTTCTCTTCCTCTTTGTGTTGTACACCCAGATCCCTCAGCTAGTACCAGTCATGGAGGAGTTGAGGAGCAGCTGTGAGAAGCTGAGTGAAGACCCAGTTATGAGTAAGAGGGTGTCACAAGTGGACGGAAACACACAGTTAGAGGTATCAGTGTACAGTAAGACCAATGATAATCATATTTAGGTTTTTAAGGGTTTTTCCCACTGCACAGAATACTGGAACTGTGCTTTCATTGGTCATCAGTCCAGTACCTGCTCGAGACTAGTACCAACCAGTAATGGTACTCCTCTGACTTCACTAGCAGCTAATTCTTTATTCTTTCAACTGAAGATAAATACACCAAGCACTATTACATGACAAAATACATGCATCTGAAAGTAAACTATGTGAGGTGTTTATTGCTGTTTTTAGAATTGTACTTTGTAGAGTTTGCTAGGGTGACATAAGAAGCTAAGGCCATCAGCATTTTTGTTGGCCTCCACACAGTGAGTGTTTTTGCTCATATTTTCACAGCCAACAGACAAAAATACAAGCTTTGACTGTACACATGAATCTCTGTGAAGGCTACCGTAAATGCTGATAGCATTAGTGTAAGCTTCTAGCTTTTTTTACTATCTTAAAGAGAGAAGATACATTTACCAAGCACTAAGTTACCCTGCTAGAAAAAGCAGCATAGACTAGCAGCTGGTCACCAGCAAAACCAGCACATGTTGTGTTTTGGATGCTGGTATGTATGACCAATTCTTGAACCAACATGTAAACTCGAATGAAAATTTAATGTGTCAATTGCAATTTTTATAATTTTCTCTTTGTAAAGAGTTTGCAGAGAGGCATAAGCATAACACGATTAGCATTCATGCTAGCCTCAACAAAATACTTATTTTTATATTTTTGTTCATGTTTTCACACTTGACAGAGAAAAATATCAGCTTTTCTTGATTCTACACATGATTTGAGTGGTGACTGGCTAGGCTGGTCTATGGTTTTTCTAGAAAGGAAGCTAAGCTAGCTAGCAAGCAAGGTAGCAAATTACCAAAAAGTTAAATTGTTAATAATGGCAGCTCCGGTTGTCTCTCAAGAAGTAGGTTGAGAAACTAGAACAAAAAATGTAATTTTGGTTCCCATTTGGGTCAGTTCTTGTTTTTGAATGTTCAGTGGAAATCGCCACATAGAGAACACAGTTATTGTAATCTGTCTGTCTGTCTGTCTCTCTCTCTCTCTCTCTCTCTCTCTCTCTCTCTCTCTCTCTCTCTCTCTCTCTCTCTGTAGAGGTTCCTGAATGCTTTAGACGAGCTTTTGTCTGCTGGGCCCCTAAACAGTAACAAGAAGGTGACGACAGTGTTGGAAACAACTGAGAATGGACTGAAACTGCTTGGACCCCAGCTATCTAATATCACCACAACAAGTGTTCACACAGGTAAGAAGTAACTGTCAGTTGACCGTAACTGTCAGTTTTAACCCAATATGAGTGACCAGAGTAGCATATTAACCCTTTTGTAAGAAAAGACTATCATTCTGTACTATTACATGACCTTTCGACCCTTTGATATGGCAGTGAAATTGGTATTTAGATATAATTAAATTCACTGCATGCTAATATTTTGTCTGTAGAGGTCAATACATTAGTCCGGAGAGATGATGCTCCCCCTCACGGGCCATTCATTTTGTCCACTCATGGCACACAGCTCGAATCCCACTGGGAAACTGCAGCAGGAGATTCATACATGGGTAAAAACACTCACTGCAAGCTGTGCTTCAAATTAGAAGAGTTAGCCCTGAAATGGAACTAAAACCTTTTGGTTTTCTTTTTCTGTTTCTTCTTTATGCTGCTCCTGGACTGCTGAACAGGATTTGCTGCTGTGTCTCTACTGAGCTTCAATAGTTTGGAAAATTCAGTCAACGACTACTTCGACCAGATAAAGACCCAAGAAGATGAAACACTCAAGATAAACTCGAAAGTAGTTACAGCAGTGGTCACTAACCCTGATACAGTACAGCTGAAGAAACAGATCATCCTCACCTTCTCTCACCTGCAGGTGCAGCTATACTTAAATCTATACTTTAAAGGATTTTATGTTATAAAATAGCAGTAAGAGATTAAAGTAGATTGTTTAAAGTCACTACATGAGCGTTACTGTGACAGCACAAAACCACATTCTGCACACATTGCAAAGGCATGGTTGCTGAAAAAGAGGGGGCAGTTGCTTGACTGGCCTGCTTGCAGTCCTGACCTGTCCCCGATAGAGAATGTGTGACACATTTTAAAATGCAAAATGCGTCAGCAAAGACCCCAAAAATTTGTTTGCAGGAAAAATCATCCAGTGCGACCTTCTTCATATCCCACATATACAATTTGGACAAAAGTATTGGGACACCCCTTTTAATTATAGAGTTCAGGTGTTTCAGCCACACCCATTGCTAATAGGTATAGTTCAATTAAGCACATAAACACTGGCAGTAGAATGGGTCGTACTGATGAGCTTAGTGATTTTAAACATGGTACTGTCATAAAATGCCACCTCTGCCACGAGTCAATTTGTAACATTTCTGTACTGCAAGATCTGCCCCTGTGAACTGATAGTTCTATTATTGTGAATTTGAAGCACCAAGGAGCAACAACAGCTTAGCCACAAAGCGGTAGACCACGCAAACTCACTTAGTGGGGCTGCCAAGGGCTGAAGCGCACAGTGCCTAACCTCTGTTGAATCACTCACTAATAAGTTCCAAATTGCCTCTGGAATCAACATCAGCAAAAGATCCTAAGATCAAAATGCACAATGCCAAGTGTGGGGCAGAGTGTTGTAAAGCACACTGCCACTGGACTCTGCAGCAGTGGAAACATGTTCTGTGGAGTGACGAATCACACTTCTCTATCTGGCAGTCTGATGGACAAGTCTGGGTTTGGCAAATGCCAGGAGAACGTTACCCACCTGACTGCATTGTGCCAACTGTAAAGTCTGGTGGAGGAGGGATGATGATATGAGGTTGTTTTTCAGGGGTTGGTCTAGACCCTTTAATTGTAGTGATGGGAAATCTTAATGCTTGACTGGCCCTCACAGAGCCCTGACCTCAAAGGAACACCTTTGGAATGAACTAGAATGGAGATGGCGAGCCAGGCCTTCTCATCCAACATCAGTGTCTGATCTTACAAATGCTCTTCTGGATGAATTCCCACAGACACTCCAAAATCTTGTAGAAAGCTTCCCAGAAGAGTGGGAGCTGTTATAGCTGCAAAGGGGGGGACCAAATCCATATTAATGCCTATGGATTTAGAATGGAATGTCATAAAAGCTCCAGTAGATGTAATGTGTATGTGGCCCAATACTTTTGTCCATACAGTGTATGAAACTTAAAAAAAAAAAAAGAGTGGTGTGGCAGCCTTTTCTTTTTATGAGCCAATAATCTGAAACACATTACCAATAAACATTCATCAGGCTTTGTCTATCACTGATTAAAAAAGACAACTATAAATATATTTCTTCATTTTATCATTTAACTGGCTTTAATTATTGTATTTTATGGCACATTATCTTAGTGTTACTTTAACAAAAAATATTGTTGTACTATTATTCTATTTTTCATTTAAATTGCTACTATTACTTTTTCTGTCTTTTCTGTCACTGCTTTTGTGTGACGTATGTTTAATATTTGCCTTTTCTCCCTGTTTGTTTTGTTTGTGTATTTATTATTTTATTTCTTTTCTTTCTGTTTTTTACATTACATTACGTACATTTAATGCATGAAAGGTGCCATATAAATGAAGTTATTATTATTATTATTATTATTATTATTATTATTATTATTATTATCATCATCATCATTATTATTATTATTATTATTATTGTAAAATACACAGGAAAGTACAATCTATTAAAATTTTACTCGAGTATATGTAACTAAGTAAATGAAACTAGTTAACTAGTTATTACTCACTTCTGTTTTTTTGAAGGTTTCATTCCCTTATTATCTTTCATCATGTACAAATGCTAAAAAGACAAAATAACAGAATATGAAAACACCAGCTGTCACTCTTGGCTACTGTTCATAATGCACTAAGAGCTTATAGCCCATGTCACATGGCATGGGGGATTTTAGGTCACTTCCACATCTAACTTTCTTGTTTTCTCTTCCCTACAGCAGCCATCAGATGGAAACCAAATGTGTGTGTTCTGGGACTCCTCTCTGGATGGTGGTGCGTGGTCCACCAAGGGCTGCTCTGTGGTCAGCTCTAATGCCAATCACACAGTCTGCTCCTTCACCCACCTCAGCAGTTTTGCTGTGCTAATGGCACTCCATGAAATGCAGGTGATGTAGTTCTTTTCCCCACAGCAAATGCTAACTGCACATTAAATGAAACACTAAACTTCTCTGTTTTAGTACAAGTTGGCAGAGCCAGTAGTCATACAGGAAGAGCTTCCTTTCTGCAGACTTTAGTTCCAGCCTTTAATCTAATGCTACGTTCAAGTAGTATCTGTTACTAGGAAATATTAATTTTCCTTCTTGTAAATTGCACTTAAACAGCCGACAAAGTAAAATTTACAGCTGGGATTGTAAATGATACCCAAGTTTACCAGACATGGTTTATAATGTGACCTTTCTGTCGGTGAAACTTGGCAGTGAATGTGAAAAAAATACACACCTAATTTGCTTCTGTGTGATATGTGTGCTTTTTAATTAATATAGCTAAGAAAAATGCAGGGTACACTCTTAGGCTGGCTTTACATAGTAAACTTTCATAAACTTATTTTCCATGCAAATTGACAGTTACATTGAGCAATTCAAAAGTTGCATGCGACACATTCAGTAATCCCTCTAGTTAGTCAAATTAGAATTACATCATTCTCGCTGTATAAAACTAACTCTGCTGATTATTAATGTTTGCATATTTGCAGACTTTTTATCATCTTTATATAATTTTCCAGCTGTCGTTCTTCTATAGCTATACTTAAGAGCTATAGAAAATGTAATGAAATTTAGTTTCATGTAAGTTTCAAGCAACTAAAGTTGCATGTAGATTTACACACCTGATGCATCAATTTCACACAGTAGGCATTAAATACAGTGTGTGTATGGAACTCACCTGTATATAACCCATAAGGTTATAGCTAGCTTAAAGTCAGTCTGAAGTTCAGATTCGTCTTTTAATGAGAATAATATAAAATTTCCTAAACAGTTATGTTTCTATGGTTACATCTGTCTTTTCATGCCACAGGAGGTATTTGAGCTGCAGCTGATCGCATGGGTGGGGCTCTCCCTGTCCCTCATCTGTCTCCTCATCTGCATACTGACCTTTGGCTTCATCCGCTCCATACAGAGCACCCGCACCACAATCCACCTGCACCTTTGCATTAGCCTCTTCATTACCAACCTCGTCTTCCTCGCTGGCATCAGCCGAATGGAGAACAAGGTACTTTAATACTGAGCTGTTGTGTACGGGATTATGTGCGTGTTGCATGGTGAAAGTACCATGTATTACCATTACATTATAGAGAAGTTCCCCAGGGTAAGATGACCCCCCATTTTCTCTCCTGATCAAGTGATGGAGCCAAAACTAATCTCAGCACATTCAATGAATGTCTGAAACTGCATTTGAATGACCACGTTTCTTGAATTTCTTACTCATTTTTTCTGGTCAGTTGATCTCATTTTTGTTATTGAATAATAAATATCTATGCATTTACATTAAGTAGTACAAGAAAATCTATCAAAAATACATAATCATAAGGGGCGTTTGCAGAGAACAACACATTTGGTTTTGAGGGGAACAAAGTTTTTTTTTCTGTTCAAGTGAAAGTGTAATGTTAGGGCTTTGGGACAAGCCACCCCCTAGACACTGAGCAACAAGGGCCCGTTTGGCACGTTGCCTCAGCATTGATATTTACTTAGATTTTCACCAAAAAACCACAAAGCTGTTCACTGTAGTTTCACTGGATAGCTAGCATTAGCGTTACATGCTAGTTATAGTTATAGTGATTGGTCGCTAGAATTAGGCAACATTTTTTAGCTGGAGATGAGTTTATATGCAAGTTGTACAGTGAAACACTAAATTAACACTAAATTAGTTTACATAACATCATTATGTAATTGATTTAATCATTTAAAGAATAAAACATTGACATTCCTATTTAACTATCATTTGTTCTTTTTTAAAATGATCTGTAATAATTACTACATAAATTGATGGAGGCCTTAATTTTATTTTAAATAATACTTTTTAGTGTTGTACTTTGGTTAATAGTACAGTTTGTTTGACCAATGCACAGACTGCAAATTATTTGACAAATAAACTATACATTCTTTATACAAATTGATACAAGATTCATCAGCAGGGCCTTTTAAAGATTTTCCTCTTTTTGTGCTATAAAAATAAACCTCGTGCACAGAAATAGTGTAGCTTCACAGTAAATGGACATTGTTCTGACAGGGGACATTTCCCCCCATTGTCCCTTTTTACATTTACTGTTAATAGATCACTGGGTCCCATTCCATCTAGTGTGTTCATTCAAAGTCTGAACTGACAGCTGTTCTAGTTTATTGTTTTGTAGTCTACTGACGCTCCTTGTCCCTTGTCTCTCCAGGTGGGCTGTGCATTTGTTGCAGGCCTGCTGCACTTCTTCTTCCTGGTTGCTTTGTGCTGGATGTGCCTGGAAGGTGTGCAGCTCTTCAACATGGTAGTGCTGGTCTTCAACACCACAGTGAGACCACTCTACCTGATACTGGGTGGTTATGGAGTTCCTGTGCTTATTGTTATCATATCAGCCAGTATCAATGCTAGAGGTTATGGCACAAAGCACCAGTGAGTTTTGCCCAGGCTTTTCTCCCATTACTAAGATTGGCATGGTTGTATCAGCAGTGCTGCATCAGTCAGCAAACAACAGTAGCATTTTTAGTTTAGAAGTGCATTGTCTTACTTGTTTGTTCATTTGCCATCAGCTGTTGGCCCGACCTGAAGGGTGGGTTCATCTGGATCTTCTTTGGTCCTGTTTGCGCCATAATTGGTGTAAGTACAGATTAAAATATGGGAGCTTAATCTACTACATATTATATACTAAATTATTTTTAGTATTGAAAAAGACTCTCTCATTTCCTTTCTCTGTCAGGTGAATGTGTTTTTCTTCCTGATAACTGTATGCAAGCTGGTTCAGAAAATTTCCCTTCTCAAACAAGACTTGAGCAAGCTGCAAAAAATCAAGTAAGGGAATGAATTTTTTAAACAAACTACTGTCTTGCAGCATGACAGCAGCTTCAGAACTTGGCGAGGACGCAAGGTGCTGTAAGATCGAAGTCCCATTTCAGTACATTTTCTAACATGCCTTCGCCCAAATTGACTCACCAAGTACGTGGCACTTACGTTTCACAAGTGGCCACTCAGAGCAGAAGAGGAGGGGACAATAAGAATGCACATGTCCTCAGCAGATTAGCCTCAGTGTGTTAATCAGCTAGCCATGCAAAATTTGCAATGCAAAATGTTGTTTAAGAAGTTTGAACATAGCATATTTGTGAATAATTGCTTTTGTCTAGCTATAAGTTTGAGGTACTGTATCGGACCGCAATGATTTCTGGGCTGTCCAGCGGGCAGTGGGATATGTATTGCTGGTGATATTGATATCTGTATAAAATATTTGGCCAGACAAGAAGTTTATGTTTTAGCCATTTATACCACAATATTTCCTCTAAGAAGTAGGGCTGTCAAAATGAAATCCAATGTTCGAATACTCATAAAATTCAATAAAAAAATTTGCATTTGCACATGTACAGCATCCTTTTGGGTTGAGGTCAGTAAATGTTTAACGTTACCTCTCCTGTAGCTCCCAGTATGTTCCAGCCCACCTGGTTATTAACATTAGCACAAAAAATGACTAGCAAACAGAAGGATAAACATAAGACAAAGAAACAAAACAGCTATGATTTATTTCAGCTTCATTCATGCGACTTCAAGTAAACTGATACACACATAGCTAAACTAAGTCGCTACATAGTTACTGTAGCTGATCGCAGTAGATTTATGTTTTTACAGTTGCTCATGCTTTCCGTGCAGTCACGCTCTTTAGTTTACAAAACAATGAGATATTGCTAGCATGGAGATTTTATGATTAATTCATTCTCAAAGATACGATTCTCTCAGAATACACCTTTGTATCTTTTGTGATAACGATCCCATAAGTTGCAACCCCAGGTTTAGAATCGCTAGTTTAAAAACCATGTGGTTTTAGGCACGCTTGATAATCTATTTTCAGTGCCCATGGATCTACATTTAGGAAAATATTGACATTATTCCTGATCTTTTTTTATTTTTTCTTGGATTTTAGGATTCCGTGTTAAGATAAGATAAGATAAGATAATCCTTTATTAATCCCACAACGGGGAAATTTGTGGTGTTACAGCAGCACAGAAGACAGAGCAGCAGGAAATATACAAACAATATATAAAATAGAATAAACAATAAAAATATAAAGATATATGTATATGTACAAAAATTACAAGAAAAATATACAAAGTATTAAATTTAAATTTAGAAATGTATGTATTGTAGTGAGTATTGCACAGTGAATAAAATAGCAAATAAATAAACAGTAATAAATGGAGAAATATTGCACTTGACATAATTGCACATAATGGTGGTAAACACATTGATTGACAGTGATCCGCAGTGAATATACTACGCATGGTGGGTTGAGATATTGCACACAGTAAAGTGCTGTGGCAGTGATGTTGAGAGTTCTTGCACATGGAAAGTAATTGTAAACTACTGTCTACTGAGTGCCGTGACTGTTATAGAGTCTGACAGCGGCTGGGAGGAAGGACCTGCGGTATCTCTCCTTCACGCACCGCGGGTGCCGCAGCCGGGCACTGAAGGAGCTGCTCAGTGCTGTCAGGGAGCGGTGCATGGGGTGGGACAGGTTCTTCAGCATGTTTGTTAGTTTAGTCCTCATTCTCCTGTCCCCCACCACCTCCACTGGGTCAAGAGGACATCCCAGGACAGAGCTGGACTTCCTGATGATCTTATTCAGTCTCCTCCTGTCAGCAATGGAGATGCTGCTACCCCAGCACACCACTCCATAAAAAATGGCTGATGCCACCACAGCGTCGAAGAAGGTCCTGAGAAGTGCCCCCTGCACGCCAAAGGACCTGAGTCTCCTCAGGAGATGTAGCCTGCTCTGGCCTTTCCTGTAGAGGGCAGCTGTGTTGTCAGTCCAGTCCAGCTTGTTGTTGAGGTGAACACCCAGGTACTTATAGGACTTCACAATCTCAATGTCCATTCCCTGGATGTTCACAGGCACCGGAGGAGAATGTTTGGACTTGCGGAAGTCCACCACCAGCTCCTTGGTTTTTCCTGCGTTGATCTGCAGGCAGTTCCTCTGGCACCATTCCACAAAGTCCTGCGTCAGTTCTCTGTACTCCCTGTCATCTCCGTCTGTGATGAGGCCGACGATAGCAGAGTCGTCAGAGAACTTTTGCAGGTGACAACTGGCAGAGCTGTACTTGAAGTCCGCAGTGTAGAGGGTGAAGAGAAAGGGAGCGAGGACAGTTCCCTGTGGAGCCCCCGTGCTGCAGACCACCGTGTCCGACTGACAGCCCTGGGTCCTCACATATTGCGGTCGGTTAGTGAGGTAGTCCAGGATCCAGGTGGTGAGGTGATGGTCCAGGCCCGTACACTCCAGCTTGTCCTTCAGCAGTGTGGGTTTGATGGTATTGAAAGCACTGGAGAAATCAAAAAACATGATTCTCACAGTGCTCCCAGCATTCTCCAGGTGAGAGAGAGAGCTGTGTAGGAGGTGGATGATGGCATCCTCCACTCCAATGCCAGGTTGGTAGGCAAACTGCAGTGGGTCCATTGAAGAGCTCACCAGGGGGCACAGGTGGACAAGAAGCAGTCTCTCCAGGGTCTTCATCAGGTGAGATGTCAGCGCCACCGGCCTATAGCTGTTGAGGTCTTTGGGGTGTGGGGTCTTTGGCACTGGCACCACACAGGAAGTTTTCCATAGCTGTGGGTCTTTCCCTAACCTCAAGCTGAGGTTAAAGATGTACCCGACCACGTCACACAGCTCGTGCGCACAGGTCTTGAGAAGCCTTGAGCTGATGGCATCTGGACCTGCAGCCTTCCTGATCTTCATCCTCCTGAGCTCACTTCTCACCTGGGATGATGTGAATGTGAGGCTGGAGTAAGGGAGAACAGTGCTGGGATGTATGTCAGCAGGAGAGCCGTCTGATGATGGCTGTGAGTTGAGATGAAGGGGGGTGGGTGCAGGAGAGGGGGGAGGGCCAAATGCTGGTAGTGCCAGACAGGGAGAATTCAGCAGTGATGTGCCTGTGGTGGGGGGAGCAGGCGAGTAATCAAACCTATTAAAGAACAGATTGAGTTCATTCACCCACTTGTGGTCCCCCACAGCCCGGGAGTCGGGCTTCTTGAGTCCAGAAATAGTTTTGAGGCTATTCCAGACTCCACTGACATTATTCTGCTGCAGCTGGGCCTCCATCTTTCTCCTGTAGCTGGCTTTCCCCTCCCGGATCTTCCTTCTCAGCTCCCTCTGCACAGATCTCATCTCCTCCTTGTCACCTGATTTAAAAGCCCTCTTGTTCTCTTTCAGGAGGGCCTTTATATCAGGATTAATCCAGGGTTTGTTGTTGGAGAAACACCGAATGGTCTTGGTGGGTACGGTATTCTCCACACAGAAGTTGACATAGTCCGTTATGAAGTGTGTGAGGCCATCAATATCTTCCGCATAAGGATCACACATCTCCTCCCACAGTGTTGTGCTGAAACAGTCTTTCAAAGCCTCTTCAGACTCTGCAGTCCATTTCTTCACTGTGCGGGTGATGGTTGGTTCTCTGTGTACAAGTGGTTTGTACACAGGCAGAAGATGAACCAGGTTGTGATCTGATCTTCCGAGGGGAGGGAGGGGTAGGGAGTTATATGCCTCCTTTGTATTGGCATAAAACAAGTCCAGTATTTTATTGTCTCTGGTGTGGCAGGTGACATACTGGGTGAAGTGTTCAAGTCGTTTGTACATCTGCTGTAAAACAATTGTTGGATCTTTGTCTCCTCAACAGGTCATTCACAGTCACTGCCATGGCTCAGCTTTGTGTGCTTGGCACCATGTGGATTTTTGGCTGTTTTCAGTTTGAGAGGGGATCTCTGGTCATGTCCTACCTCTTCACTATCTTCCTTAGCCTGCAGGGGGTGCTGGTGTTCATCATGCACTGCCTGCTCTCCAAACAAGTGAGTCCACTCATTTCATGCAGGACTGCTCAGCTGAAATGTAAAGATTAAATGCCAGCTGAAGACAAAATGCTAAGTGCAGTGGTTGTGTTGTGTGGTGTGTCAGAGACTCACACAGTCTAAAATCTCAATGTCAGTGCTGAAGTAAACATGGGTATAAACTTTGGGCCTAGCATTTGTACAGTACCTCGATTTGTAAGGAGACAATACAATATTAGGTGATACTTTAAAGCTTACTACAATATCTTAACAAGCACATTTTGCATTTGCATTTCTGTTTCAGTTAGCAATAAACTCCGCCTACTCCTGGTTAATTTGAAACATTTAAAAGAAAGAAGACACTTTCTTTGCAAAGTACTCAAAGTTTTAGTTTCCTTATATGCATCCATATATATTAGATAATCAGATTTTAGAATTGATGCTTCAAACCAAATATAATTCACTCCTAAAATTAAAAGGGCATGCCAGGCTAAAACAAGCATTTAATATTATGTTGGGTATTATTTTGTAATATAATAGTTTTTTGTAATGTAATATAATAATGTAATAGCCTCTCAGTCTGATCTGTTTGACAGAAACATGATTTTGTATCCTTTCTGAGTTTTTGTACAAGCACTGGGAATCTCCACCGCTCCTAGTGCAGCCACAGATGTAGAGGCTAATAAATACAAGCGTGTTATTTGGCTTTCTAGTAGTATCATTAGCTATCTGTTGGCTTTCTTTTGAATTAACCAGCTACCGATGGGGGGAAAAAAGCCTAAAGCATTCACCACAAAGCTGTTGCAGTTACTCAAAAGTTTCACCCACCTTCAAGAAGGTTTTTATAGTCTTTAAACCAAAAGTTCTCTCTCTAGATGCTTTTTAGCATGGCTCAAGGGGGCAAGCATGCAGTGTCTACAACAAATGAAGCAATGGTTACATTCTTCCTTTTAGCCAGAGCGCCCCTTTAAGTCTGAACGTCACACAAGCAGCTTCACATTTCTATCTTGTTCCAATCTGCCTCATGATGTTCTCTAATCTTCTCTTATTAGGTGAGAGAAGAGTATGCCAGGATCCTGACCAGCCTATGTGTTCCACAGAAGAAGAAATACTCAGAGTACAGCTCAAACCAGTCCAGCAAATCTCAGGTACATTATCTTTTAAATCAGCACTGTGGCATCATAAGCAGCTTCAAGGGAATGGAATGGAATGCATTGCAGTTGGGGTCTCATTAAAAATAAGGGTTCAGTCTCATTAGAATTTTCCCTGTTAATAAATAAATAAGTAACATAGATAGTGGCTTTTTAGCTCTTGCTTCTGTGTGACTGAATAGCTGTTTTAATTAATCTGTCCATTAAAGTTAAATTAATTTCACCAAAAAAAATACCCCAGCCGAAGCTGATAGCCCTATTGAAGACCCAAATTGTATGCAAATGTAGACCCAACCGAAATTATTTAGCTCCAGTTTAGCACCCGTATCAATCAAGCCTTAAAGTGCGCTCTCAGGCACTGAAGAGAGTAAAGATGCTGTGGACGTGTCAGCTTGGGTGGCAGGCAGAAAGAGGCTGATTTCTCATCACAGCCAATGTTCTCTGAGACAGGCTGGTGTGGAAGTGATGATCAGTGGAGCGTTTTGACCAAGATGAGCATTACAGCTCCACTATTAAATGACCAGCTGTGATATGAATATGAAGGAGCATGAGCTTTTTCTCCCAGTCTGACTGTCTTGAACAGCTTTGCAGGCATCCAGGAGCATCCAGCACACGGGAGAGTCACACATATGAAGCAGGCTGGATCCATCCATCAGCAGCGCTTTCCATGTGCAAACATGACTTTGTCTGCAGCCCCTCTGACCACTGTGGGTCTTAACCAAATGTCGATAAACATGGTTGGCATGTAACAGGATTACATCTTCGAAAGGCCGTGGCAAATTGCTGTTTTGTCTTAAACGGTTCATATCCTGTAAAATTAAATTTTCCTTACTGTTTTTAAATAAGTGTTAGATGTAGTTTGTAAACATTGTTTTAAAATGTATTATCTACACAGTCCACAAAGGCCAACTAAGCTGCAAAAAACAGCTTGTTTTGAATTCACGGTTTTTATGAGATCACAAAAAACCAACACATTTACACATATCCACCTATTTGACTTACTCACATGAAGCTATAAGTAGAGATTCAGCCCGGACTGCATTTTGAATGTGGCACAATACAGGATAGCTAATCAGAACAGAGCTCATTTACATACATAGTCGTGTGCAAAAGTTTGAATACCCATGGTGAAATTACATGTTTTGTTGATTGTTGATGGCATAATTTTTGTACAGGCCACATTTTATGTTTATTTATTTTTCCGTCATTATGTTAAATTCATGAAATAAACTGGAATTGTGCATTAACATGTGCAGAAGTGTAAGGTGTATTTACTTTCACTTAGAAAATCAACATAACCAGGGGCACCTAAACTTTAACGCGGTAACAAAAATAGTGGGTTTATTCGTAAGTGATACAGATACAGAATGTTGAAAAATGGTCATATAGAAATGAATTATGGCTGTTTTTGGTACATTAAACCGCATGAATGTTGTAAGTGAGCCTCAATGACAAAATAAAATACAATAAAAATGTACTATATGGGAATGTTCCAAACTTAATATCAGAGAGTAGATCAAGTCAGTTATATTTGTATGTGAGTTTTTGTGTGTGTTTTTTGTAATATAAAAGAAGATTCTGTTGTAATATTTAATGAGCTTTAAGGCTGCTCTCATAACTTATGTCACTGGATTACAGCATTCTGACCTGTACTTTGGAGTTTTTAGACATTTTGTCACAGTGTTTCTCTGCTGTACAGCATATCAGTGCCTTTTTCAAACATTTTTATTTGCTGTTAAAATATTGAGTTGAGAAATTGTGCCTGTGTCCTAATATCTGTTTTGTGCCAAGATCTGAAGGTTTTTATGGCATGCATGATTAATGAATTTTTAATGTACGTCTGTGCTGATGGTAGCTACAGATGTCTCGTTACTAAAAGCATAAACAAAAACGACTTTTTTAAAGCTGCAATTTGCCAGATGTATTTTGATGGGAATCATCATTTTCAAACTAATAAAGAATAATTAAAAATGGGGAAATATAATTTTATATAAATATAAAAAACAGCTAATCATTTAAAGCATCTCAGATGAATGATGTTTGTTTCAAATTGACATAATACAGCAAAATGAGTGCTCATCTACTTGAGAAATGGATGCTTCATTTCATGCAGGAAATACATCAAATATTGAAACCAGGGTGGCGCCAGGCTACAGGCGGAACGGGAAATTGCCTAGGGCCTCCAAATTGTCTGGGGGGGGCTTCACATTGCCACCCCCCACCACAACTAGACTGCAAATGTTGCTGCAAACTATTATTGTTATGACGGCGCCTACAGAGTGGGAATAATATTGAGAAGTTGCAAAACAATAAACACTTTCAAAGACAGAAATAGATCTGCACATGTTTTGTGTGTAGTTAGTTGTAGAAGTGCAGCTTTTCTGATCATGTCATTACATTATATCATTTAGTGTCCTATAAGAATCAATGTCTCTCACTGAGTCACCGACTGACTGACAGATGTCCACTGAAACACACATGCAAAAGAGCCACCTAAGACAAGCAGGAGGTGATGCTGTACAATTAAATATCAACCTTCTTGCCCTCCCAATGCTACCAATATAAGGCAAACAAATAATGTTAGAAAGCAGAATTGTGTTCACTAAAATACAACATGATATGATAACAATGACCAAATAATAGGTGGAATAACACAGTAGCACATGCTTTGAGTCCTAGCTGTGTTTGACTGGAATTTTCCTTAATCCTGGTGTACAAGCGGCCTTATTTAGCTATTTTTTATTGCTCCAGGTGAGGATACAGCTTCCAAGAACTACTGCATGACCAATAAATATATATATATATATATATATACATATATTTGCTTGTGTGCAGTAAAAGTGCTGTTACTTCAATCAAATAACAACTCAAGTAGAAGTTAAAGTAGCTATCCAGCCTCTACAGTGTAATGAAAAATTTGCTTTTTTGCATATTTGACACATAATTGTTTCCTGATCTTCAAACTAAATTTACTATAACACTAAGACAACCTGAGTAAACAAACAATAAAGCAATAAGCCACAAGACGCCATGCATTACAGTGATTTTATCATGGCTAAGGGTGTTATAAAACCCTAAAACCCCCAGTACCTGTAATAAAATGTTCCCTACATAGGAATTCAGAAACCAGGGCCAAATCCATATTGGACAAATAGTGTACTATTTGGATGCAGAAGCTAGATTTTCAAAACTCACATAGAACACATTTTAGAGAGCCATTTAGGATTCAGTCTGAGTTTCATGCAACTTAAGGCAGATCTGAATAAAACCCAGACATTTGAAGCACATAAGACATTTAAGTGACATATTCTTTAGTTGTTTTATATTGCTGTTTTACAGCAAATCACATTGTAAGTACTTTAAGTCCGTGATATTAATAGGAGTTGTTTAGCCTGTTAGCTATCATTTAGCCTGCTAGCTATCTGATCAGCCTAGTTCTAGCCAAGAAAATAAGTTGTCAACCCCTCAATGTAACTATCCATCTTATAATACAGTTTTTAAATGCTTCTCAATAAGCAGGACACTATATGTCAAAATCAAAAAAAATTCAGAAGAGATTAACAAGAAAGTTAGTGAAATGCATCTATGTGGAAAGCCATTTCTACGTGTACAAGAGCAAGTACCCTTCTGATTGTCTCAAAAGAAATCAAATTGAGGTTTTTTGAGTGGCCTAGTTAAAGTCTTAACTTGAACCTCATTAAAGAAGCATTAGGTGAGAATTGGTATTTTTTGCTCTTGGGCTCCCCCCTACTGTCTTCTTCTGTCTTTTGGCACCTTCTGCTATGATGTCCATGCTGGGAATACTGAGCTAGCTTCTTCTTATTGCTTGCTGAAGTGTACCATCAAAATAATTTTGAAGCTGTTATTTTAAGGTACAATTGTTACATAATGTTGCTTTAAGGTGCTGTGGCAGGACATTAAATGGGCAAATCAGGCTTAAAAGCCCTCCAGTGTGGCTGAATTAAAGAGTGGGCCAAAATTCCTCCACAGTGATGTGAAAGACTGATCTCCAGTAGGAAGCATTTGGTTGCAGTTGTTGCTGTTAAAGGTGGCACAACCAGTTATTAAATTTAGGGGGTAATTACTTTTTTTACATGGGTGATATGTGTGTTGGGAAACCCTTTTTCCCTTAGTAAATGAAATTATCATTTAAAAATAGTGATTTTCTCCATGTTCTCTTTGTCTTATAGTGAATTTTGTATGATCTAAAGAACATTCAGACAAATATGCAAAAATAGAGGTAATCACTTTTCACTGCATCAGAGTAACTGTGCTGTTCTTCTCTTTTTTATACTTTTTGGTCTAAAATAAAATGCTAACGCTTTAAAGTGAGAGGGGTGAACCAGCAAAACAGAAACCCAAAACATGGGGAACGAAATGTTAAGAAAGAAAACAGAACTGGGAACAGTTCAGTACAGTGCTAAGTGTAGAAAATTCCTTCATGAAGCTCTCTTGTGAGTTAAAAATCATTTGAAAATCTTTCTGAAAGGCACAACGCAAAATTGCTCAAGCTGAGAAAACATTGTGTATCGAAGTGTAACACAAGCTCATAACTCCATGAAATAGACTCACTGTTACACAGAGGAAAATGCAGTTCTTTCTCAATAAACACAGTAAAATGTGTAAAGTTAAACTGTTTGTTTACATGCGGCTAATGAGCCTAACTGTGGAAATGTAATTCTAGTCTTTGTTTACCTTCTACTTTTTATGCAGACTGGAAAACGGGTTGAGGTTATGGGTTCTCCAGTGTTGTACACACTTTAGAATACAAAAACATGATGCGGTCGGTGCTGAAGTATTCAGTGGTGCACAAAAATTCAGTCAGTGCACGGAGGGCTTGGTAATTAGCTAATGAGTTGAAATGGGTGTGAGAAAGTTGGCAAGCCACTATGCTGGGCAGCAGAGGGGCCACAAGACTGGCAGGGAATATAAATGGTCCAAACTCATCTGCTACACTAGTACTATTGGGTATTCTGAAACATAGAATGAACTAAACAAAAGTGGAACAATTTTTCAGAAATGCACCAAGGGACTCTACATAAGCCATGTCTTATGTGGATTTGTGAGCTGTCTCAATCCTTCTTAATTTTAGTGCATCGAAACTGTACAAGGGTGCAAATTTGATCTGGAGGGAGCCAATATCAGGATGCTATAGCCATTATGTTGTACATAAAACAATTCAAAGCTGAAACTAAGTGAGCAACTACACCTGCAGTTATATAGTACTCTAAAATCTAAGACAGCTGCATTATATGTCAATATTAAAAATATCAGGACATAATAACAAAGTTCATATAGCATGCAATATAAACACTAAATGGGTAAAAGTGTATGGACACCGAAACATCTCATCTATTGACATTTTGCATGGTGATTTTAGGTTTGCATATGGCTGTTCAGTCATGGAAATCTAAACCATAAAAACAATTCCTGTTTACGTTGCTTCCAGAAACAGTTCGGAATACGTTGACCCTGGGCCCAGCATGAGGGGGGTCAATAAGTAGAGCAATGATCCACTAACCAATCATCATGCCCTGCTAAACCCTTTATTTTATACATGCATCTATAGTGGCAAGCAGGGAAAAAACAATCACAGTAAAACTAAACTTTGTGTGCTCTGCTGAACTGCTTGC